GGTAGGGGGAAGACAAAAGGATGGGGGGGCTGGGGTGGAGGAGAGAAGGATATTCCATCAATCTGGATTAATGCAGTCAAGTAAGAGTGGTTGCAATATAAGGAAGTAGAATCAAACAACAACGACGCTACAGACAGCGAACAATTATTAAGAAACCACATAAAATGGACTCTTGCAAAAAAAATCTTTCAGCCTGCCTGATACTAAAATGGAAGATGAATGACAGGTAGAAAGGGGAAAGAAAGAGAGATAAAAAAAATGTTTAAGACGCAACAAAGAGTAAAAAAAAAAAAGATGGGACTACAAAGACAAGAGACACCAGACAGGTAGACATATATGGAGAGGGGGTGGAGTGAGGACACTAGCAGGAATGCATGAGCATTTCTGAATTTGCAAATTCATGATGCACCGCTGCATAAGAGCAAGAAATATCCCAGTATCTAACGACAAAAAAGAACATCAAATCTAAAGTACAACGCAAATGTATGTAAAGTGCAAAACAAACAAACAAACAAACAAACAATACGAAATAAAGCAAGACAAAAACAACGCATTCCTCATTAATACATATAATGAATTAGTGACATAACGTGCTTGCCACTCAAACGAGCACATTTTGTGCCGTGACCGTGGAAGTCATTGCAATACTAAGGACATAATTTCGGAAAAGGCCCGGGGCGGTGCAAATATGTGACCTTGGCTGGTACCGAACCGAACAAACAGTCACGTGAGAGAATTGAAAAGGGTGTCACGGCGGCCCTTAGAGCGCGGGGTGAAGGAAGTTTCGACAAGATGAGTTAGTACGAATAAACCGAGTAATAATAGCTATATGATATCAGACTGACCAATTCAAACACATGAAGTCAAACGAAACAAGCAAGAACGAGCTATTATTGTTTATAAATATAGGCCCACAAAATGTAACTGTACAGTAAACCCTGGCATGACCGTGACCCTATTGGTTCTGACCAAGTAGGCCACAGTTTGTGTCGTGTTATTCTTTAATACCATTCGCGGCCTTCTCCTTTGTCATAACATGAGTTAGTTAACAGGTTAAAATGTTCTTATAAGCATAATTATACGCACGTATGTACATGCACTATAAATACATGAGAATATACAGTTAACACTATATTATATATAGGACGGCCACCCACTGCCGAGCAGAAAGATGGTCGTCTAAGATAGGTGTCTGTTTTACACAGTGTCATTGTAATAACTGCATTATATAAATTATGTAAAAATATGCAAGGGAAGAAATGAAAGTGGCCATTTGAACAGACAATTGTCTTATTCATGTACTATACAGATGACCGTTAGAGCAGGTATTTAATATACAGACAGACAGACAGACAGACAGACAGACAGACAGACAGACAGACAGACAGACAGACAGACAGACAGACATTCACTCTGAGAAGTTTGAAGGGGGACAATTTAAAACAAATAAACAAAAAAAACCCACAAAAATTGACCAACTTGTGCAGGCCTGCAGCAAAAGTTATTATGTCATTGTGGCACACAAAAGCTGGGACAAACGCCGTGGGTCGAGGGCACTGCACGTAATACATACGGTTATCATAACCACCAAGCACAAATCCAAACAAGGACGCGGAAGGGGTGAAATTGCGGTGAAGGTCAAGTTAGCGAACCCAAGCAGAGCGATTATTGGGACTGATCCCACGCAAGACGGCATGCACATTAAGTAGAATTTTGCTGTAGTAGTAGTAGTAGTAGTAGTAGTAGTAGTAGTAGTAGTAGTAGTAGTAGTAGTAGTAGTAGTAGTAGTAGTAGTAGTATCTGCCGAGGGGTTTGTTTTGTTTTAGTGCGAGTTTTACGGTGTGTGCAACACAGTTAGGGCATGTAAATGCCGAAGATTAGAAAAGAGTTACGCGACAGTAACAAACAAACAAAAGAAGGGAGAGAGAGGGTAAGTGCACAGGTTTAACGTCTCTATCAACACTATTAGGTATTTAATAGGTAGTGCCACTGAAATTAACGTCCGTCTCCGACAGGAACGAACCAAATGGACAGAGAAATGAAAACTCCACAAAATGGCCGAAGTTACAGAACACCCAGTCTGGGATACGAACCAGGGCCATTCGTTCTGTAGTTCAATATGACACCCACTCACTGAGCTAATGGGGTGCACGAGGAGAGATATGGACGACAGGGGATGACAGGAAAGGAGGAGCAAACCACACCAGAGCACCGGCCAACCACAAACGCTGGAAGGGGGGGGGGGGGTAGTTCGATCAGTTCCTATGTTCATGTAGAATAAAACAGTTGTGGTTTTGATGCAAACTTGTAAACATGCAATTTGGAGAAAGTCAACGATACAATTAGCGATAGACCAAGCGAACGGGATAAAAGAAGGCACCATGTACCCAGCCGCACAATACACGCCAGTCCAAAAAGCAAGTACACCAGGGCGCCTGTACTGGTTCACTGGTTTATCTATCAACATTCCTTGGACGTGCATCGTGACTTATACGCCGGAAACCTTGCTCAGTGAAATCATAATTGCTCGTCAAAACCGTGAAACAACAGTGATAAACAAATGTACTATATACATTTAAGGGGAAAAAAGGTGGAAAAAAAGGGGGCGGGGACGGGGTGACGGGCTACTGACTGTTCCCATGGACAACGTTTGATCTCTCTCTCTCTCTCTCTCTCTCTCTCTCACACACACACACACACACACACACACACACACACACACACACAC